ATAGAATTAACTGCATTCGTGTAGATCACATTGCAGGTTACTGGTCATGAAGATCGTGTTAAAATGACGATTAAAATAACTTCGCAACCACGAAGCTAAACATCAAGGTGCAGTGGACTTCATTCATTCATTCATTTGTTTATTTTCTGTGCTCATGAACAGCTTGACGCCTTGGTAATGATGGACAACAAAATGTTCACAGGTTAGTTACAACACTCTCGAAAGCTACGAAATTTGGTTTAAAAACATCAATATCTGCTCCCTTGAGGGTATTGTAGAAGTGTTGAATACGGGTCATGGGACTGGTTTGGAATGCGTATAAAACGCACAAATACACTCTTCATCTCAAAATAAAGAATATTTGCTTGAAGATGCAATAGTGCGTGAGGTACAGAAAGACATAATAAATCTTTTAATTAAAAATAAGTTAACAAAAGTTGCTAAAAAAATATGTACCCATATTTTTCCTCTTTACTTTTTGAGTAGAATGCAACGCGTTCAAACATCCATCCACGAGAGCACTTGGGAAAAAGGTAATTCTCTATAAGATTTTTTTAAATTAAGTTGGTTTAGCACAGTTTTCATCAGCTGTAAATTTGAATGCCTCCCCTCACCAACATTATTATTTTCATGAAAAAAAAACTTCTCAGCCCTATATAAAATTTATCCGCAATAGAATAAATTAACGACTGTTTTCACCACTTTTTCTGCAAAGAATATTGCGCGCCAACCATTTAACAAACCAGGAAAGGCTCTATCGTATTTTAATGGAGCTCAACGCCTGCTCCATAAACCTCTGTAATATCAGACAGGAATAGCAATATGTCGAAAGTCATGTCTGAATTCAGACTTGAATTTTGTTTAGACTTTTCACTTCGCGTCTTCAACATATCGGCCGCGTGAGTGGAACTCCGAGAGTAGCCCGAGCTAGATTCGACGTCCAAAAGAAATAGGGTGCATATAAAAAAAAAAGTACTGAACCAATTGTGAATAACAATTGTGACTGTGCAAAATGTCGACTATAGTGCTAGATCCTGTACAATATTTCTCGATATTATTAGCACCCTTCTTTAGACGGGTGTCGTAATGGTCACAGCCGGCTTGGGTTTGCGCTTGCCGCTCTTGAAGCTGTTCCAGCTGCTGAAGGATACTCAACTCGCAGCACGCGGCTATAAAGTATTCCGAGCAAAAGTGAAAATGTTTCACGTGACACTAGTTTTCTCGGCACACACCTCGCGCAAAAGCACCTTGACGTGGCTGGACTCCATTGCTGCCGGGGAACGCTTTTTTTTTTTTTCCCCACGAAAACAAGGGTAAAAAAAGAACCTTTTACCCGACAGTGTTTCTACAGTCTATCGTGAAGCACACAATGCTACCCATTGAAAAGGAACTTTCAACCTTGAAGCTGCCAAAAAATTATCTCGATCGCTGGCGTCCGGAAAACTACTTCGGGGGCCGCGGCTGCCCGAGTCGCTCGTCTGCCTGCACATTCGTGACGTACGCGGGTAGGGAAAAGTAGGGATTTATCATTGTTGCCAGAAGAGAGTCACCTCCTGGAACCCTCGCGGCCGGCGTAACTTGAAAATTCAATAACTTCACGGAAATTTTTTTTTTCTTAAAATATTTTGGTTATTATTTGAGAACGGGTTATTGACGCGGTCTGCAAGTTTCCAGCCAAATCGAAGTCTACCCAAAAATCGGCGGAGTACCCCTTTAACACCTACGGCGACCACAACCTGCGCAACGATCGCCGTCGTTGAAGGAGTTTCTTTGCTGGGTGATGTGTATCTTTGTATTGTCTTCTAACTTCTTTGTTTGATTCAACGTTGTTGGGACTGCTTTCCGTTTTTTTTCGTCTGCGACGGGGACAATAATTTTCTTGCAAAAGTCGGAAAGCGTTTGCACGTTTATTTTTCTCGTTGTTTTTTGGTTTTGCTGTGCTGCAGCGGCTTGTGCGTTTGCTCTGGCAATCTTATACCCGTTCCACACGGGCAACTCGAATGCCATTTACAACGAATGAAATTTGTGTGATCGGCGAATCAGCTCGCAATCTGTCGAGCGTGGAATGCGCTACGCCCGGAGTGTCGCGCGCTGATTGGCCCTCCGCACAAATGCCGTTAGTTGTAAATAGCACTTGAGTTGCTTGTGTGGCACGGGTGTTAACGTGTTTGCGCAAAGTTTAAATGATCACCAATTCAGGTAAGATATTTTGACAACACAGTTTCTGGCGGATCAACAGTAACCTTTTACCACGAACTTTGAGGAGCTTAACGCATTTTCTCTGCGTCCCAGGTGCGCTTTAAACGCGTGTGATCTCCTGAGTGGAGTTTGAGACTGCTAAGTAAAGTGCTCTATCTTTGTGTTTGCGCTCGTTGGTATTTGATTGTCGTTACAATTGCGATCAGTGAATTCTGCTTTGCAGGCGGACTAACTGTAGTGAATTATTTCCGCTGTTGTGGTAAAGAAACGGGGCTCGCAAAGCTCTAGAATGTTGCGGATCCTATTTTTTTTTTAACTCCGTCGGCTGCTTCCGTAGACTCCGAGTCTGCTAGAGGCGCCACGGTCGCGTTCGCCGCTGCTCCAATGGTTTTTCGGAGGAGTTTTAAATATTGGGGAAGCTATGCGTTATTTGTTTTTACACAGGGTTTTACAGCATTGATGGCGCCGATGCCACCGACATATTTTCTCAATCGGCACCTCTCAACCCCGCGATAACCATGTTTTGTCAACGACGAGATCCGTCGGCACGTGTGCGCTACAACCGCGAACGCAAGTCGTAACCGGTCCACGCGATGGAGTATCATGGCATGTGACGTCACCAAGATAGGGTGTGTGTGGAGCGCAAGGAAGAAAAAGAAGGAGATGAACGAGATTTGAGGGTAGGTACCCGTTTTGGTGACGAACGGTTATCGTATTAATAAGCCGCTTGTTTTTACAACGAAGCTGTGAAGGGCTAGTCTCACCAGTTACGTGTCCACAAAAAAATCTCAACACAGCCCTCTGGACAACTACCGCCATCTATGAGCGACGTCGGCAACCTGTGAACCGGCTTACAGGAGATATGGTTGCCGTCGTCACTCATAGATGGCGGCACAAAGTACAGGTCAGCTGCTCTTCTTTTTTCATCAGAGTGGAAAGGCTGAATTTTTTTCTCCTCGACTATATCTTGTGGACCGTATTTGAGCTTGCGTTTCTCCTTCCACAGTCGCATGGTTACTGGGGCTCTTCTAATCGTCCTGACTGCCCAGCGATGCTCCGGTTATCCTCCTGCCTACTTTGGGTGGCTCTTCTGATTTCAGCATCCGACCATGGGACAAGCCGCCTTCGTCCTCTTGAGCCCTTCGCCACCAAACGTGTTGCGATACCCTGCCTCAACGCCGCGACATAGTTGAAGAAAAGGAAAAAAGAAGCGTCTATTTGACTACACATGGAAACATCGCAGCTGGGCGAAATTCAACTACATATCTTTCGTCACAGCGACAGCCTGCGACTGGTTCCATACGCTGGTAGTCTCGTTGGAAAATGCGGCGGAATCGGGCAAGAATGTACGGAATGTTGAGAGCATACACGAATGGCCTTAGACCTGGGCTCCTTCAAACCGATGAGCCTGCACTTAGTGCTTCGATGTGGTTCCTGAAGTGGCAAGCGGTGAAGCTGCGGCCATTCTTTCTAAGCTCTGTACGGCACAAACTGTAATTCGGGCATTTGCAACGAACGCGTTAGCTACGATTGCCTCCGTTGTGACAGGAGCGACCGGAACAACTGCTTTGAACAGCGCGTACACGCTCGTTCAACCACAACGGCCGCTTCTCCGCCGACGTCATCTGTATCCGCGGTGGCTTTTAAAAGGAGGGGACGCGCTGCCACTCACTGGCGTAGCAGAAAATTGACAGTGTTCTACGGGCTCAAGTTTTACTAATTTGTATTTAGTCAGGATAGGCTCGTAGGGCAGAGTGAATAAAAAAAGAAAAGATAAAGATGCAGTGCACCGCCTTGGACGATCACGACTTTAACAAACGTCTTTACCGGTAGTACAAATCTTGCCACACACCTCATGAAAGCGATTTGTGCAAGCGATGAAGGCGATGAGCGCCGTTTTCTAGAAACCCAAAAACCGAACGACGCACGCAGCGACAGTGAGAAATCTTGGTCGCTCGTCGCCGGCACTCGTAGCTTGTCGCCGTCGCTCGTCTCGTTGATCGCTATATTGCTTACATGCCGTTCAGAAAGGCGCTCTAAGTGCTAACCATTGCATTGGGACCAGCCTCGGAACCAGTCATAACCACTATTTTTTTTTTTAAGTCGCCCATTCAGAAGTTAACATCGTACATAAGTTTTAAGCATGGCTCCTCGTTCATCGGCTCGATTTACATTTTCGGTAAATGAAAAACCGTGATTAAGTTCAATTATTCTAGCTCAAAATTGTCACGAACACTTGGCACACATGTTTACACTGAAGGATGTTTACACTGTCTCCTGGAGGAAGACGATGATGACGATACAGTGAGCTGTGCCGGGTGACCGCGGCGCTAGGTTCTGGCCCTGAACATGAATACATCGGAGGCGGCAGCCGTCTACCTAGACTGGGCCACCCCTCTGGAGCCGCTGCCTTCACCGAGGCGAGCGACCGCACCGTCAGGCGCCAGGCCGGGGAGGTTCGGCAACCCTAGTGGCTTGCTGGCAAGGTCTCACATCGCTCACTTATTTAACGGGCAATTTTAGCGGACTATTCGGGGTAAACACCCGCAACTTTCGTCGAAATGTCCGAGAACATTACCGGCACCGATTCCTCGAAGGACTTGCGACCGGAAGGCGATATCTTTCGTTTTTCCGGGGGAACTCGACAACTCGTGGCTCCGCGGCCGCTAAGTCTACTTCCCACCGGAGCAGGCAACGACTGGAACCCGTTCTCCTTTCTTCCAGACAACGCAAGCGGACATCACGAAACTCCCGCACCCGAAGGCAGCGACCACGACGCCAAGAAACGGCGCACGGGCACGATGAACGCGGTCGGGGGACGCTTCGTCAATGGAGCGTCTCACGAGGCTGCCCGCCGGATGACTACGTGGGCTAACTTTGGGTCCATCGCAAACCCCGCGGACGCCGATGAGGAAGGCTGGACGCCCGTCACACAGCTCAGAAGGAAGGTACGTACCACGAACTACACCGTCATTCTACGGCCGAAACAACCGATCAGGATGGCGGCACTCTCCCCGAAGCTCTTCATAGACGCGGTCAGGAGCGAGGCGAACAAGATTCGCCTAACGACCGGTTTCAAGGTTCGCGTGCTGCACAGGTCCAACACGATCGCCATAGACACCTCCAACCCCCAGCTAAGAGACGACCTTCTCAAGGTGGAATCTTTCCCATTCGGGGGCGAGACGCCAATTCTAGTGCAAACCTATGAGCCAGCTAGGCGAGAAAACGCCCGGGGCGTTATCCATGGCGTCGACGAATCGAACGCACAGACACTACAACGAATGATCACATGTCCTTCACACCGAGTTCTCTCGGCGCGACCCATAGGATCGTCTGGCTCCATTCTCATCGCTTTCGACGGCCCGACTCTCCCCTCGCACGTGTTGTTCGACATACTCGAGAAGAGGGTCTTCGAATACAAACCCAAAGTCGTAGTATGCTCACAGTGCCATGACATCGGCCACAAGCATGACATATGCCCCAACCAGCACCGGCAACGATGCGAAAAGTGCGGCAGGATGAAGCACGGCGATGACGAATGCAACGGCGAAACGCCAGAATGCAGGAACTGCAAGGGATCTCACATTGCGACGGACTCATGTTGCCCGGCCGCGAGGAAGGCCACTCAGAACCTCAGATCCAAGCTCCAACCCCCCGGAACACCACCCAAACACGAGCCCTCACGAAACACGCGACCCTCACGATCGAGGAGACGCAGGCGCCGCCACAAGAAATCGACCAACGCCGGCAATGGCAGCGCCAACACAGACGCACAACAGGTCACGCCAAAAGCACCGTCGCCGAACCGGACCTCAACCAGACGCCCTAAACGATCCACAGACACTAATTCATAAGCAACCACTATCGCACCTGCACCAGCAGCAGGCCCGGCATCGACCGGTATCAAAAGATCGGCAGGCGGACAGCCAGGTGAACCTCGCACATCGGAGATACGAGGCACGGAACAGATGGAGACGGACTTCCCGCCCCTGCCCATCCGCTCGGCTCCCCACGCAGAACCCAACACCGACGCCTTAGTTGCTGCGATGCGCAAAAACATTTGGCACAACAGGAAATTACCGACACCAGATCCTACCACGCCAGCGCACCGCGAAGTGACGAGCTCGAAAACGCCGCGCCTGGACGAGGAGACGCTCAGCGTCATACGAGAAGAGGTCAGAAGAGCGCTAGCCGAGGCTTGGCCACGCTTCGTAGAAGGCCTCCAGAACCTCATTTCGGAGACGATTGCCCAGCGTCTCACACCAACCGTCCCACCAAAATAATGGAAAGTGGTCGACACTGTGGTCCCACCAATCGACGCACGGCCGCGGGCGATGCGTGGATCCTGCAATGGAACTGCCGCACGCTCGCAAACAAAAAAGCCGAATTGGTCCACCGACTACAAACACAAGGCAAAGCGCTCGCGATGCTGCTCCAAGAAGTTAACAGCACCGAGATCGTCATCCCAGGATACGACGCCTACTTTCAACCCACAATCACACATTTCTCGCAAGGACGGGAATCGGGCAGAAGAAACGCGCGGGGGCAGACGGCGATCTACATCGACAAGGCCGTTCCACACATTCAGGTGATTGACCTGAGCAGATGGTGCAACGATCACCAGGAAGTCGTGGGCGTCCGCACCCGGTTCAGCAAACGCGCCCTGCTCCTTGTTTCTGTCTACGTCCGGCCAAGAAGGACGGGCAGAGCGCGCGAGAATTTGGATTGGATATATTACATTCAATCCACCTACTCCAGCGATATACTCGTTATCGCGGGAGATTTCAACGCGCGACATCAGGCGTGGGGCTACGCCGAGAATCACTACAGGGCAGAGACCCTACGCGACGTGATGGCTGCCAACTACATGGAGCTGCTCAACGACCCTAATATTCCGACACGTTACCGACACGGACGCCAGGGGGACACAACCCCAGACCTCACGTGGGGGTCGCGTAACGCACGGACAGATTGGGAAGTTTACATGGACGCGATGGGCAGCGACCACTTCCCCATACTTGTCACGCTCAAAAATGTAAGAGGAAAAAATAACCAGAAAATAAAAACTCAAATCGCAAAGTGGGATGACTACAGAAACCTACTACAAGAATGGGAAGTCCTGGGAGGCGAAACACGGCCCTGCGACCTAGTCCAACGTCTGCGAGCAGCAAAGGCGCAAGCCACACGCACGGTAAACGTGGATCCGGACACCCCCAAGCCTGACTTACACTTGCTCAATCAGTCGGATACCCGCATCGAAGCGCTCACGCGATACCGAGAGCGGGGCAAGAAACCATGGTTGCGCAGGCGCCTTGACCAGGCGACGGAAGAGGCGCGCCAACACGCCCAGAACTTGGCACAAGAACGTTGGCAGGACCTGTGCAACCAATTCAACGGACGGATGCATCTACTCCAAATATGGAACATGTTCAGGAGCTGGCAGGGCAAGTCAAAAAGACGGACGGCAGCACAGATGGTAGCTCTCCGACTCGACAAGAGTGAGGAGAAAATCGCCACGATGGCCGGAACAACGTTCTTCCCACAACCCAACGAGAAGAACGAGACTTGCTACGACCACGGAGACGAAGCGAGAACAGCAGCCCCGAACGATACGCCGTTCACTCTGGCCGAGCTACAGGCCGCGCTCGACAAGGCCAACGTTCGGAGCGCGCCCGGACAGGACTGCGTGTCCTTCGCGGAACTTCGCAATCTACCCACGGAATTTAAGTCTAAACTCCTTGAATGGATCAATGACGTATGGGTGACGGGCTCCGTCCCGGACGATTGGAAGGAATCTATCGTGATCCCGATACCGAAACTGGGCAAACCGCCGATTTCCGTTCAAAATTTGCGACCCATTTCCCTCACGAGCAATGTCGGCAAATTGGCGGAAAGAATGGTTCTCGCAAGAATCCTCTGGCAGCTCGAAACCGAGGACCGATTCCACCATTGCCAGACAGGCTTCAGACAAGGCCTGAGCACGCAAGATAATCTGCTTATGTTATATCGCGATGTTCTGGAACGACCATCGAAATCTCAGCCTCGAACGGTCGCCGCGGTCGACATCCAAAAGGCGTTTGATTCCGTCCCGCACGCGGCGGTGATCGATAGCGCGGGCCTAGCGGGCGTAGGCGAGCGAGCGCTCAACTTCATCCGCGGCTTTCTTCGTTATAGACGGTTTAAAGCCAAGATCGGAGACAAGGCAGGTCCCGAAACTGCCAACCACGTCGGCGTCCCGCAGGGGGCGGTCTTGTCGCCGACTATGTTTAATATGGTCATGGCACGACTGTCCCCGCGCCTGTAGAAGATCCCACAGCTTCGTTTCGCCTTATATGCAGACGACATTGCCCTCTGGTCAGTGGCCGGCTCCGTGGGGGAGCAAGAATATACGCTTCAGCGAGGACTCGACGAGGTCCAAAGATTTTCGGAGGAGGTAGGCATGACCGCCTCCCCAGAAAAAACGGAATTTGTCGTCGTTCTCTCCGGCCCGCAGCGAGAAGCTGAGAAGACCAGAAACCTCTACACTTTGAACCTGGCCGGGAAGCCCATCAAGCGGAGCTCGACGGTCCGTGTATTGGGTCTCTTTATCGACCAAGACGGCAAAGCCGGCACGTGGATGGTCCGCGTGAAAAAGGAAAGTCGGCAGATCCTGCACCTCATTCGCCGAGTGACCAGGAGAAGAAGGGGAACCGGCGAGAAAGAAACTCGGCAGCTCGTCCAGTCTCTCTTCTCATCAAGACTCTTCTACGGTTACAACTACCATCACGTCACTGCAAAACAACGGGAGGAGCTGGAAAGGTTAAACCGCGAAGCGATACGAATCGTAATGGGCCTTCCAAAGTACACCTGGACTGCGGACCTCTATGCCCACGGCGGGCTGAACAGGCTGGCCGACGTGGCCGAGCAACTCTTGTCTGCACAGAGAACTCGGCTACTGAGCACACGTGCTGGGCGGAGGATTCTCGCAGAGCTGGGAGACCTCCCGCAACCGGCACCGCCGATCTCCCCGGTGCAAGAGCCGCCATGGGAACGACAAATCAATCTCACAGGCGATGCACCGCTCACAAGTCACATGGGCCCCGATCATCCCGAGAGGAGATCCCGTTTCGCGGCAGCGCACGAGAAGCTTGTCAAAAACAGAGATGGATAGAAACACGTCTGCATCTACACCGACGAGGCCGCAGAACAGCCGTCACCAAAAGAAACCGGAAGCCCTCTCCGAACATCAATAGCCTGGGTTGACACCACCACCCTCGAAGTGGATGCGTGCGCGCTGCCCCCGGGTGTGGGCGTGAAGGGGGCCGAACTTGAAGCCATTCTACGAGTAGCGATACACGCAGAGGAACGTCACTCCGTCGGAACAAAGGTGACTGACATCACTATCTACACGGACTCCAGGGAGGCATATTTGGAGTGCCGTAACGCAATCAAGAGTCAGAGCGAACGGGTGCGAAATATTCACGACGTCGCGAAACGCCTACTGCATGACAGGAACGTCACACTACGAGTGGACTGGGTCCCGGCACACGCGGGTATCCGGGCGAACGAATGGGCTCACAGCGAGGCACGAGCAGCACTGCGCAGATCAACCGTGTCAGACGCAACCAACAACACAAAAGAGCCCAGACACGCCCCAGCGCCCAGTGAAACTGGCCCGCCGGACGACTTACCAGACTCCGCGGAATTAGCGGTAATTGCCAAGAAGGAACGTAAAGCCACCCTCCTCCGACTGAGACAAGACGCCGCCGCCGTGAACCGTCACAACCGAGAGATCTCAACGATGCCTCCAGACCTGAACCGCAGGGCACAGGTCACCATAAGGCGGATTATCACCAACACCCCCCTCACGCCGGCCCTCAGGCACAAAATGTTCAGCGATGATCCCAACAAAGGCAAGTGCCGAGCCTGCGCAGTGCCGGCGACCACCTCGCACCTTGTCTGGGAGTGCCCAACCTATGGCACAGCCCGGGAACGCATTCTGTCGGAGTTACCGGCAGAACACCGACCCACCAGCTACATCGACTGGATTCTACCCCAGGACACGTCACTCGGGACTGTTCAACTCCTGTGAAAGCACCTCTGCCTCTTCGTCCACGCAGACGGAGGGCCTGGAGCCCTGCTTCTACACGGCCCGCCAAGGAAAGAAATCCCCCGTGTCTCTCCCCCCGCCGCTGCTGATGCCGTAGGACAAGAGCAGCCTCGAAAATGCCCAATAAAGACGTTTACAAAAAAACAAACACTGAAGCGCACCTAACATAATTTAAAAGTAGAACGAAAAGAGGACGAGATTTGCTTACCGCTTCTCGGAAAAACCTTCGGATCCTAGGCCTAACGGCCGGACTTCGAAGTCATCTGCGGTTCGACGATCGGACGAGGCGAGCCGGCCGCGCTGCGGTGCCCCAGGCTGACCACGCCTGGTTGAACTATGAGAGGCGCCGTCGAGTTGAGAGCCAGAATCAAAGGAAGAACCGGACCTCTAAACATCTGTCCCGTAAAACGTAGAACGAGCCGACGACTCCCCTGCCGCTACGTCTCCGCCATCTCCGCGAAGACGGGAAGCGGGAAGCCGAAGCCGGGAAGGCATGGGAGCCGGGGAGCCGCGGCAGCCTCTGGGTGGAAGCTTTACGTTTCGGTTTCGCTTTTCGCCGACGCCGGCTATGGGTTGCGGGGTGGTGGGTTTACGGCTGGTTGCGACAATTTCGATGACGAGAGGAGCCACGAAAAGACGCCGAGTTGGCACAGTACGAGTGACGCCCCACGGTACGAGCGACGGACCGTTTGCCGCTTTCGATCGGTGATGCGGTATCCTCGGCTTGGTGTCACGATCGGTTTGCTGCCGTGCACGTTGGCTTTG